GCGGCCGGCGCAGGCGGGTCCCTCCTGACCCCCAGCCCCGCTGGTGCCGCCGCTCCTCGGAGGTTCGGGGCTCGGCCTCCTGGTCCGGGCTGCCCGGGGGGGAAGCGGGGCGGCGTCAGGGCCGTGTCCCTGTGCCCCGCTCCCCGTGAGGCCTCAGGGGCGAGCGTGCGGCTTGGGGGCGAGAGGGTGACTCTCGGGGAGGTGAGAAGGTGTCGCCGAGGGGTGGGAGGGCGACTCAGCCGCTCATCGCCCTCCCCGAGGGCTCCAGCACAGCTGTCTGCGGTACAGCTTTTTGCTTTCTTACAGAGGAGGGTAAAAATAAGTGTCTGGCTCTGGTGTTGGGACCCGTTTCCCTCCAGCCTTGGTGCAGTAGCAGCTTCCACCCCCCTCCGCAGAGATAAGCCTTGTTCCATCCCAACAAACGCTTCCCTGTGCTCCGCGGGCTCCTCCTCCGCGTGTGTCCCGGGCAGATCGCAGCTCCCGTCCCCCCGGGCGGCTGTCCCGGCTTGTTTCGTCCTTGGCGCTGCTGTTGTCAGCTCAGACCGGCTGAGAGCGTCCCGGCTCTGCCGGAGCGTCCTTGGATCTAGTGTCACACTTGGGAACAGGACGCGGTCCGGGGAGTGAACTGGCACACCCTGAGCCGGGAGATGTGTTTGCTGTCCCTTGGTGTGATCGGTACAAGGGAAGGAAAGCCTGGCTGCGGTGGGCAGTGGGGCTGGATCTCCTCCGTGCAAAGGGGAGGGGCAGGGAGGTCTCTGGGATCAAGCCCCTCGGTGTCCAGCCCCCCTCCCAGAACAGTCATGGACCTGACAGGCAGACTTTGAACTGTTTGCTCTGGACATCCAAGGAAGCACTACTCTCCAGTTAAATGACTTTTTTCCCTAGGTGTCCTTTAACTCCTCATTGGTGCTCAGATAATCAGGATTTGTCTTGTTTGAAAGAGCTTAGGGGAAATAAAAGATTTAATCTTTTGTCTGCAGTGACCAGAAGGAAGGGTTCCAGCTGTTTGGTGTTTTTCAGCAATGAGTTTTACTAATGCAGTATATTTACCTTCTCTTCTTGGCTCTCTTTTGAAATGTTCCTCATTCAGTAGCACTCCTGCCCTCTGCATCAGCTGAGGGAGAGGATCATCCACCTCATTTCTGACTCCTTTTTGGTGGTGTTTGGAGGCTGTTTGGTTCATTGGAAGCTGAAGGATTTGGGGAGGAACGAGAGCCAAGCCTCTGCAGAGAATGGGGGGAAGCAATTTGGGAAGGGAGGTGTGGCAAAGCCTGGTTTTCCTTCAGCGCGACGCTCAAAACCTCTGCTTCAGTATTTTGCATGACAAGGTTTTCGGCAGGCAGGCTCTGACCGAGTGGTTGGTGCTGTTCAAACCACAAGGAAAATCACCTGCTGCGTTTCTGTTTGAGTCACCAAGTCTTGACTGGTTATTTGTTTCCCAGAGCTGATGGAGAAACAAGTGGTGTTGGTGATGGTGAGGCAGAGGGAGCTGGTGGCTTTCAGGGGCTCTGTACTTGCTGTGAGCACAGGTCTGGCCTCCAGCACTTTGCAGAGTGACAGCAGTGCTCAAGGGCTGCTCCCAGCCCCAGCTGCCTCTCCCTGTGTGTTTGGTACAAGTTGGGATAATGCTTTTAGCTCGAGTGTTTTGTTGTGCAGCTTAGGAATATAAGTAGGGAGGGAAAATTTCACCCTCTAGCCTAATTCTGTGTATTTAGGCAGTTGTTCTTGTGCTGTGTCAAGATGTGTTTCTGTGAGGAAAGGCTGAGAGAGAGAGCTGGGGGTGTTCAGCTGGAGGAGAGAAGGCTCCAGGGAAACCTTCAAGTCCCTTCCAGGGCCTGAAGGGGCTCCAAGAGAGCTGGAGAAGGACTTTGGTAAGGGCCTGGAGGGACAGGACAAGGGAGAATGGCTTCCCACTGCCAGAGGGCAGGGTTAGATGGGATATTGGGAAGGAATTCTTCCTTGTGAGGGTGGGGAGGCCCTATAACAGATGCCCAGAGAAGCTGTGGCTGCCCTATCCCTGGAAGTGTCCAAGGCCAAGTTGGATGGGGCTTGGAGCAACCTGGTCTAGTGGAATGTGTCCCTGCCCATGGCAGGGGCTGGAACTGGATGGTCTTAAACCTTCCAACCCAAACCATCCTGTGATTCTGTAGAGGTGTGTGCAAAGCTTTGCCTTTTCTACTGAGGCTTTCTAGGAGGAGAAGGTGTTCTGCAGATCCTATGGGTGGTGTGCCCATGGGACAGAGATCCAGAGAGCCTCACATCATTCTCAGTGTGTACAAGACCCCTAGAAAGCAAGGCTGCCTTTCTCAGGGTGAGCTGTGCAGGGCTGACACTCTGCTTTTTAACTTTAAATCCATGTGAAGTTGAACTGCTGTGCTTGATGTGCAGCAGCTGCACATCTTTCTCTGCAGGAACTGCTGCTCCACTGTCCTGGATGCTCAGAGCTCTGTAATTAAAACAGACCGAGGGCTTTCTGAAGGTGAAGTTTTGGAGCACTGCCTGAGAAATGTGCTGATCTCACCCGGCTTCTGCAGCTCTGAGAGGAGCAGCTTCAAACAGGATTTCTGCTTGGGGAATTTCCAGGTTTACTTCTTTTCAGACCCTTTGTCTCTGGCTATAAGAAGGTTCCTGTGCCCACTGTGACACTTTGTGCCTCTGCCTGAATTGCTTGGGCCCCACTGGCTCGTATTTAGACCATCTGGGCAATAGCACAAGGGATACAGCTTGGAAAAGTGCAGGAGCATGTGAGGGTGGATGCTTGTAAAGGAAACACTCAGTGATCTCAAGCCTTTTGAGGAGTTTACTGCTGCCTTTATAATGTCCTTGATATTAACTGGGAGCAGTCACTTGAGTTTGTCTCCCTGCAGAGGGGAAACCTGAACTCCTGTGTTTAGCAGTTGTGCCTTTTCAAGTGTTTTCTCCCAAAGTACCAATATGGCACTAATGTCTGGATGCACAGCTGGACACACACAGCCAGATGTTAAGCATTCAGCTGAGGGGCTGCAAGCCTGGGACTCTCATCCCAAATGTGCAGTGTCATGGCACATGTGATGCATTCCCTGAATACAGGGGGAAGCATCCAGTTGCAAATACTGTCTTTGCTAAGGATCTGGTTGGTGCCCTGCAAAATGTGAGGCTGCAGAGGTTGTGACATTTGAGCAGGCAAGGGAACATTGCTGAGAAGGAGAAAGAGGGATGGTGGGTCATTTGATAGTTCCTGTGTAGCATCCTTGTTTCAGTCATTTTCTCCAAACAATTTGGGACTCCTGACAGAGAGGTGGATACATGGCAAGCTTGAGAACTGACAGACCACAAAATGTTCCTTGGAGCTTTAAAGCCTTCCTGAGAACTTCAGGTTTTATGTTAAGATCGTATCTCTTATCTTTATAAATCTGGAAATTGGTAAACTTTGGGTAGTAGATGGGAAAGAAATCCTTAATTTCCCTGCTAAGGTTTGTTAGAGGAGACTGCAATAGTTTGCTGGGACATCTCTGTACAACAGAATTGCTTTGCTTGGCTTGCTGAGGAGTCACATCATGGGATGGGAATGGGAACATGTGGCCTGTGCTATCCTAAATGTGCCTGAAACAGTCTCAAGGACTAATTCACCCAGGGAACGGGCTCCAAATCTTTTGGGTTCGTCTTAAGGCAGAGTCTGAGGCAAAGTTTTATTTAGCAGCATGTTGTCATCTCTATTGCCAAAGTTCCTGCTTAAAGAGTAGCTGGTCTTAGTGAGGGTGTCTTGCTGCTGCTACTCCAGTGTTTTCTTGGACAATTGGAATTCCAGGTCAGAGAGCCCAGGAGCAGAAGGCTGATGAGATACCTACAGGAGGCCAAAGTCTCTTGTGTAGCAGCAGGTGACTCCTAGGAAGCCAAAGGTGAGGTGTGTGACATGGAGGGGAGCAGCTTTCCCTTGTCCTGCTTTAAACTCAACTCACATTACTGCAGGTTTTACTGCATTTGCTGTGAGATTTTTCAGTCGCTGCTTTAATAGTTACAGAGCAGTCTGGCTTAGCTCTGCTTTAAATTCTAGGTGTGGTTTGTTAAAGAGTTGACTCCTGCAAAATCAGTTGGTTCGTTTCCAGGGTTCCCAGGGTACTTTAAAGTGCCTGATTTCCAAACACGGACCTGGTGGAGCACAGTTCATCTGTATCTCCTGGTTTTTCCTCCCTGTTGCCTGTGCCTTGTGCATGACAGCTTAAGCTGCCCTGCTCCAAGGGCAGCCTGTGCTGCTGGGTTGTTCTGTCACGGTCCTGGAAGAGGATGGATATTTAGGCACTGATGGATGCTGTGCTGTGAAGGGAGCCAGTAAAAGGGACAAGGTTTGCCTGTCACCTGTGTACAGGTACGTCCGCACAGCTCTGCGTTCTTCACGTTGTGGGTGACACCTGTAAAGGCTTCTGCTGGGTTTGTTGCCTCTTGAGGAGGGACTAAGCAAGGTTTAGTTCCCATCTTAAGGTGATCTGTGTTTTGTGTGTCCTTCCTTCCAAATTTATATTCTCTGAAAGAGGATTTTTACCACTTTGCTCGCTGGAAAAGAGAACCTCAACATCATTGCTGATGGCACGCAGGATGGTGCCTGTTCTGGAAAATGGTGTAGCTGCCAGCTGAAGTTTTAGATGTTTTCTGCCCCAGGCAGAACCTGGAGCTGGCCTAGCCTGGAAATCCCTCTGCTTTTGTGCCTGTGGAGCAGCCAGGAGCGAGTCAGGGCTGGATCACCCCTGTGCCTCCCAGAGCCTGTGGGTGCAGCGCAGCCCAGAGGCTCTGGAAATGTGACTTACGGGGACACAGCAGCTCTGGTTCTGTAGCTTTGCCTGGTTTTTAAAACACAAGGAAAAGCTATGAAAGGTCTGTAATTTCTCTTTTCTCTTTCCAGCTACCCTTACCTACGACACCCTCAGGTTTGAGTATGAAGACTTCCCTGAGACCAAAGAACCCGTCTGGATCCTCGGTCGGAAATACAGTGTTTTCACAGGTATTTTCGTGGGCAGTGCAACGTTCTGATGCTCCAGAGCTCTTTGGTAGTGTTGCACTTGGGTTTTAACTGCCAGGCTTCTGTCTGTCTGGCCATTTCTGTGCAGAAAGTTGCCATATAGTAGTTATTGGGACACGTCATGAGGGCTGGGTGGTGGAGACGGGGGGATACTCAGAGGAAAGAAGATGGTTTGCCTCTTCATAATTTGCCTGTGGCTGTAGTGTCTTTGGGTTGATTGCAGCTGTTTTGGGGGGAAAAGGAAGTTTTTTCTGCACAGCAGCACTGCCCTGTTCCTCAGCCAGGCTCTCCCTCTCTGGGCATGCAGGCTGTGAGGAGCAGATGCTGCTGTCCTTAGGGTGAGTGGGAGGTGGGTTTGGCTGTGGTGGTGCCACCCTCACGTGTGCGTTTCGATGCTGAACACCTTTCAGAGAAGGACGAGATCCTGTTGGATGTGACCTCTCGCCTTTGGTTCACCTACAGAAAGAACTTCCCTGCTATTGGTATGTACTGTGGAGGAGTCTAAAGACATCCTGGAAATGATCCTAATCTGGTTATCCCTGACAAAGCAGTCCCCCCAAGCGTGACGTTATTTCCATTCGTAAGAATCTGAAATGCACTTCATTTAATTGATTGGACACACTTTTGCTTATCTGATAATGAGAATTCCTCATCCCCTTGGGTATGAGGGATAGCAGTGGTTTCAAGAAGGACACAAGGAGGAGTTTGGGAAGCCTGCTCTTTTTTTTTATGCAACTTGGGAAGATTTCTGTGCTTCGTGCTCATCACATCCTACATCAGTCTAGTGTGAAATGTTATTGAATAATGGTCTTGGGCCTGAAGTGGATTAAAATTATGAAAGCTACAGATATGATATGGAAATTGCTGCTTTTGTGCATCTGCTCTAGACTGTGTGGGGGGTTTTGTTTGTGTGGGGGGTTTTAAATGCCTGAAGTGTCTGTTACACACAGGAGCTGTAGTGATATGGGAAATTTTTCCCAGTGAACTCAAAGGAGGATGTCTTGGTTCCTTAAGATATTCTGTATGGCCTCTTCTGGGGTTTAGTTTTGTGTTCTGGGTGCAAGGTGTATCAGAGATCTAAGAGCAAGGGGATTCCAAGAGGATCTAGGGCAAATGGGATTCCAAGCCCCACCCAAATCCCCCTTCTGTCAGTGCCATCCCCAGCAGTCAGTGGGGAAAGAAGCTCAGGTTTGGAAAAGAGACTTCTTGGTAACTGGTCCTTCTGGCTTGTGCTGTTCTTTCCCTGCTGGTAAATCCTCTGCCTCACAAGCCCTCAGACATCTTTGATGCAGTTTAATTCCTTTAAATTCATGTTTGTGCACTACAGTTAAACACATGTTTGAGACTGAAGGGTTAGCACATATTAAACTGGCTCGCAGACACAATTGGGGTTTTGTGAGTCATAGGCAGACACCATTTTCTGAGTCATTTCCCATTTACAGAATAAATATTATTTGCATATATACAGTAAACCTTTTTTTAGTATTTTTCTTCTTCCAGTCATCCCTGTTGTTGTTTGTCACTTCCCTCTGTGCTTGCCCACTTAAATATTGTAAGGGTTAGGGGACTGTCTAATGCTAATTTGGTAAAGCATTATCATTCTTGGAAGTCGTATATGTTATAAATTACTGGTGAAATCATGGAAGACAGCTGCTGAACATCCAGATGTTGATTAAATAGTTCTCTGGGTGATTCTTCTCCCTGTGGAGAGTAGTTGTTTGAGACTAAAAGACAGAAGCAGCATTACAAAGACTTCTGGCAGCTTTGCCCAGGCACAGCTGGCTGTGTGCTCATGAGACAGCTCACCTGCTGTGGTCACACTGAATGTTTATCTCTATTATTTGTAGTAATAGCCAGAGTTGCAGTGGAGGAGCTGTGGTTTCCTTTGGAAGGTCTGTCAGGGAAATGCTTCCAGCCTTGAGCTTTGTCTTGAAAGTCTTTGTCTCAGACTTTCCAGTGTGAGCTAATATCCAGCTTATTCTCCAACATGATGTAGGATGTGTCTTTTTTTCATTGCTGGGGTGGTTTTATTTTTTTTTTTTGTCTGATGCCTTTTTTTTGGCCTAACTACACTGTTCACTTTGGGATCTTAGCCTGTCATTGCTGCTTCTTATGTAGGAATTCCTTGGGACTGATTTGGTTTGCACATTGAGTTGCCTTCTCAAGATGAGGATTGCAAGAGTCACCTGCAGCAGGCACCTCTGTATAGAGCTGTCTCTGAATTGGGCTGGGAGTCTGCAGCCAGGCTTAGAGGCCACTGTGCTCCTGAAAAATTCACCTCTCTCTTGGGTTGTTTGGATTTCCCTTGGAAGTTTTTTTTCCCCCTTTCAGTTAGCGTTAGAGGGGTTTGTTTATTTGCTTTTAAGGGATGCCATTAAGTTAACCACATTTTTGGTTCTCAGCCTTGGGTGTGTGAGCTAAGCTAGTCCTTATTCCCTGCCTCGTGTCTCTGTGAGCCTGCTGCCCACGCAGACTTACTGTGCCTGCATTTCTGTCCCTCTTGGCACTGTTTTCCCCTTCATTCCGTGTTTATTCTCCGTCCTCGTTTGCAGGAGGCACCGGTCCCACGTCGGACACCGGCTGGGGCTGTATGCTGCGCTGTGGCCAGATGATCTTTGCTCAGGCCTTGGTCTGCAGGCATCTGGGAAGAGGTAAACCAGCCCACACTGACTTCCAGGGCCGTGTGCTCCCACAAGTGCAGCACTTGTAAGGACAGAGATGACAAGGGCACGGGAGGGAATTGCTGTGAGGGCTCTCTAACTTTCTCTTCAGTCTTCTCAAGTTCAGGGCTGTTGGGAGAGAAATCTACTGGGAGCTCTTCAGCAGGTTTTTCCCTGTTTTCTCCAACTCTACATAGATATTTGTATTTTTTTTTTAATTATTATTTGGTTTTCTGTGGGTGACATTCCTTTATCCTAGCTGTGAGGATGCTTTCTGTTCTTTTAAAATTAGTCTGTTACTCTTGGGAATGCCTCAGATGCCTAATAGTAAGATAACAATGTGAAAATCAGGTCAGTTGGTTGATGCACAGGAAGAGAATTGTTGCTTGCAGCCTCTAGTTGCTAACAAATACCATGCTTTGTTTCATATATCCCATTTTCTGTCTTAGACTGGAGGTGGATAAAAGGGAAGAGGCAGATGGATAATTACTTCAACGTTCTTAATGCCTTCATTGACAAAAAAGACAGCTACTACTCCATTCACCAGATAGGTAAGAGGAAAGAAATGCTCTGAAGAAGCAAATGGAGTAAGGAAGGATCTCACCTCAATACAAACTTCCCTGAAAAATAAAAGAGAAGCTGCCTGTTTCCAGTGGGGTGTTAAGGTACCCACAGCTTCAGTGAACAGAACACGGGTTACAGGGGTGGTCTGGTGATCAAACACTCTGTGTAAAGCTTCTTCTGAGGCAACATTGCCCTTTGAACTTCTGTGCTGCTGCATTTTGGGGAAAGGATTTGCTTTACAGTCCTTCAGGATGAGCTGCTCACCCCCACCTACCAGAAGATACCCCATGACAGGGTACATTCTGCTGATTCAATGTTTCTAAGTGAGAATCCTTCCCTATTTAATACAAGCCTGCTGAGCAAGGAATGCAGTGTGGGTGAAATTACTTACTAATTTTTTTTTCCTTGTGCTGCAGCCCAGATGGGAGTTGGAGAGGGAAAATCCATAGGCCAGTGGTACGGACCAAACACAGTCGCGCAGGTGCTCAAGTAAGGGCTGCTTTTTTTCCTTTTGCCTGTTGAACCAGGCAGTGTGGGGTCATTTGGGGTGTGGTACCTGAGCTTACAGGGTTCTGACCACTGTGGGAGCATGGGCTGCCTTGACTAACACCCTCCCTCCTCTCACTGTTCTCCCCTCACGTTGGTACATGAGCAGGTAGTTCCCTGGAGTAGGCTGGGATTGCTTAAAGGCAGCTTTCCCAGGTCAGGCCACAGGCTGAGTTAGCCCAGGCTCTGGTACAGGTGGTCAGGAGATAATGTATGGGAAGTCAAAGTGCTTTTATTTCACTTCTAATGCTGTCTCACTTTCTGGTAACCAGCAGTTAAGGAATTCCACTTGGAGATTGTATCAGGGCTCATGTACTTAGTGGCTGCTGAGGGGCAGATTAGATTCCCAGGTGTGATCCCATTTGCAACCTTGTTTATTCTTTATTCTTCAGGCAGTAATGAAGTCTACAACTCTGCCTCTGTCAAAGCACACTTTATAGCATAATTGATTACACCAGTCTCTCCTAATCCAGTTTCTCCTCTCTGCTACCCCACCATTTTTGTCATGTAGTTGTATTAATTCTTCCTTACGTATTTGCTTTTAATTTTCCCGTAGAAAACTCGCAACTTTTGATACGTGGAGTTCCCTGGCAGTACATATAGCCATGGACAACACAGTAGTGATGGAAGAAATCCGTAAGTACCACACAGAGGTAGAATGTGATGTATCCTCTGGCAGCAACAAGCCAGAAAAAAGCTGGAGAGCACAACAAACATGAAGTACATGTTCTGTCTTAAATTCTTCCCTGGGAGGGTGGGGAGGCCCTGGCACAGGTTGCCCAGAGAAGTTGTGGCTGCCCCATCCCTGGAAGTGTCCAAGGCCAGGTTGGATGGGCCTTGGAGCAACCTGGGCTAGTGGAAGGTGTCCCTGCCCATGGCCGGGGGTGGGACTGGGTGAGCCTTAAGGCTCCTTCCAACACTCACCATTCTCTGGTCTCTGAAAGCTATGGGCAAGCATTCTGAAACCAGGTGAGAATTGCTGTTCTACGGCAAGGAAGGCCCCTGTTTGACTTTTGCTTCATCTGATAAAGCCTCTGGCTTGGCATAGTGGCCTCTCTTTTTGGAGAGAAGGTTTACTGACCTTCAGACAGTAAGTGGGAGCTGCTTGGATGGCAGTGTCAGACTTGTTTATGGCCACAAGTAGCAAGCAGTAAATGGCTGCTTCATCTCTCATATAATGGGTAGGATGTCTCTGCTATTAGGCAGGATAAGAAAACTAGAACAAATCACTGAAGGGAAAAGTGAACAAAACTGGCAGGGGGCAAGGATAAGAAGGGAATCCATCTCTAGAGTGAATCTCATCATTTTAAGGAGTGTTCACTCGTGGTTTCTTTTTTTTTTCCCCTTTATTTGTTTGGGGTTTTTTTGGTGCATCCTGCCCACAGGCTGGCTCTGGAGCCTGAGCAGGTCTTGGTGCCCATCCTGAGCCTGCCTGCTCAGGCTGCAGCCCTGCAGTAATGAAAGCTGAGTGCCTGCACTGCTGGTTGCTGCAGCCCTGCACGTCCCTGGCCTCACCAGCCCTTCCCCTGGCTTGCTTTAGGCCAACTCCTGAGGCAGGGAGCTCACCCAGCACAAACCTTGCAGTGTTTCTGCCAGGGCAGTGCTCTGGAATGGCAGGTACAATGCTCTGGGGAGTGCTGGAGCTGGGGCAAGGTTACAGGTGAGGTTGTGGCAGGCATCATTTAGGCTTCTTGGCTGCCACAGAACCAGAATCAACTACAAGGCAATTTATTCCTGGAGTGCAGGACAACCACGTTACAAAGCTCCGTCTCTTGTCAGGTAGCTCAGTTGGATCTGACTGAGAAGTGCCTGTCTGACTTTAGCTGAAGGTACATGCTGATGTCCTTGGCTTAAACAAGGGCCAATTTAAAAACAGAAATTGGATTTGCCTTTCATCTTTAGCCTGAAAACATCACTTGTAGAGCTGAAGCATGCTGGCTGCAAGGCTTGGGTGTGCTGCAGGCTCTGTCTGTGTGGCACTGGCTACTCAGCACTGACGCTGCTTCAAGTGGTGTGTCCGTACTGCTTGTCATGGGCAGGGCGTGTTTGTTTTCCTCAGATGTGGATCATAATGTACCTGTACAGGGCCTGAAAGTCACTGTGTGAGTGGGTCTGATGTGTTACACGTCTGTAGGTTTGTGTCAGATACCTTGTGCCCCAGACATTGATGATAGAAGTCATGTTGTTTCATACATCCATTAATTTGGTCACTGATAAGGTTAAGCCAAAGGTTCACAGGAAATGCCTTTTGCTACAGCATTGAAGAAACATCCACCTTTATCCCTGTGTTCCATCAGAAGGGGCCTCTCAGTTGGGCATTGGAGGATCCTGTGCATCAGAAGTGTGATGAGACTCCAAGGCAGTACCTGACAGCAGCAGCCACAGCAGGAGAGGTGTCATGTCAGATCTGTTGGAATATGTTTGCAGTAAATAGTTTGGATCCAGCTGGGAAGCTTTAGGCAAGTTCTGCTACGCTCTGCCACCACAGCAGTGCAAAGCCTGCCAAAGACCAAGGTGAATTTAGTCTGTGCCAAGCTCTCTGCTGCTTTAACTGGAGTTGAATATGTTCACACCACAGCGCAGGATTGCCAGGTGCTTTGCCTGATGAGGAAACCTGCAGTGACAGCCCATGCAGCAACAGCCCTGGATTGGCAGCTGATTTCAGATCACCAGAACAGGCAGGCTACTGCAAGAAAAAAACCTGTTTTAATAGGAGAAATCACTACTTACAGTTTCCTCAGGACCTCTGGTAACTATGTCTGTGCATGAGATGCACACGTACACCTTCTCCCTTCTTGAGGGACAGTACAGGGAGAAACTGCAGACATCCATGCAGGTTGTCTTTCCTTCTGAGACTTTAGATCAAAGTTGTATTTATTCTAAATTTGGGTGTAACATTGCCCTTGTTCAGCTGGGTTTGAAGCTCTCAGTAGTGAACAAACACCAAGGTCAAATGGCTGGTGATTAAGGTGTTTGTTTACAGTGTGTCCTACCTGCTAGAGTGTCCTGGCCTTCAATTTAGGCCAGGAATAAATTAAATGAGCCTCTGGCATTTTGTCTAATTGCCTTGGCTTCATGATTAAAGTGCTGTGGGTTTCTTCGGAGTTTGGGGTTTTTTCTTCACACACCCAGCAAGTAATGAAATTGGCCAGTGAGACAGGTAAGCTTCGAGTTGTTTCTGGACCAGAATTTACATAACCTGGGTGCATTACAGCCTGGCTGTGTTTGTCAAGCCTGTAGAATGAGGATGCAGAGTGCTTATGTCATGTGTATGCCCCGAGGAGTTCTGCTGCCCCACATCTTAGAGGCAAAGCTTATGCTGAAATTGCAGAGTTCAGTGACAATCCTGCTTTAGGTCTGTGAAGAGGCTGCTGAATGATCCCCAACAAAATTTGTGAAGGTTAAAACCTTTAGGAAACTTAAGTGAACTTAGGAAAATTATAACTACTCTAGACAGATGCCATGTTTGTATCTTGCTACAGCACTTAGTTACAGGTGAGCATTTCCTGTGTTAAGCTATAACACTGTCCTCATTCAGTTCATTCACATCCTCTGTGAGTTCCTCTGGAGTTGGACACTCCAGACTTTTCTCGTTCTGCCTACAAGCTTTGTGAATTCAGGACTGTTGCCTGACAGCCTAATCAGCTCATCCAACCTTGTTGGCACAAGTGCTTGCTCACCTGGTGGAAGAACTGGCATTTTCACTGCCCAGCAGATGGTAGCTGTGAGTACAACGTGCTCTGGTGTAAACTTGGTGTGAGCTTGGCTGAAAGGCTGAGCCCTTCAGCAGCCCTGTAGGGAGTACACACATCACACAGTCCCAGCACTGGGCCTCTTCAAGCTTTTCTCATTGTTTTTAAGTGCTGTAGGCTTTTAGAAAACAGCAGTTGTTGATCAGAGCTTGACTAGAACGACTCAAGGTCTGGAAACGGAGGTGATTCCTGATGCTCTCTGCTCCTGTTCCCTTTCCATAGGGCGGCTGTGCCAGTCCAACTCGCCGTGTGCTGGAGCTGCAGCATGTCCTGCCCTGGAGTCAGATGTGCTCTATAACGGGTACCCAGAGGAACCAGGGGTTAGAGACAGGCTTGTGCTGTGGAAACCACTGGTGCTGCTGATACCTCTCCGCCTCGGGCTCACAGAGATCAATGAAGCCTATATTGAAACACTAAAGGTAGGGGATATTTGGAGCTGAATTCCTGGTGGGGTGATGCTTAAGGATCCTGTTGTGAATTAAGTAATTATTCAGAAATAATTGTCCTATTTGCAAAAGAAAAATATGTTGAGAGACAACTCATGTCAGAGGTCAGGATACAGGTTCTTGCAGGCTCTAGTCAGGAAAATGGGGTGGGGCTCAGGGAGTTGTATCTTTTTTAGGTTGCTTTTTTTTTTCTTTTGGGGATTTTGCTTCATAGCTTGGTCTCAGTGTTTAGATAGCACCAACCTGCTGAAGCATTTGTTCAGCACAACTATACCCTGCTTGGTGGCAACCTGAGTGTTGGTTAATGCAGTGTTGGACGCTCCCTGTGGCTCTGAGGCTGGAGCTGGTGCTGCAGACTAAGGCCAGGAGCTGGCAGGCAGTTGCAGGTTGGAGTATTGAGAAGCTGCAGAATCAAGGGTGTGCAGAGTATGTGCACAAGACAGGGTGCACATTGTCTTGCTGTCCTAGTGCTGGCAGGCTCTGAGCTGTGTGGGTAAGAGAGTTCCAAATTCCTGTGAGGTTACTTCCCTTATCTCAGTGGATCATGCTTGGATGCTGCAGGTGGATGAGGAACTTAAACTGTTTCCTGAATGATTGTTCCCTCCCGGGAGCACTGCTGCAGCCTGATGACAGCTCCAGGGATCTTGCCACTGACGGCAGCAGAGCCAGGACTCGCCCGTACTGAGTCCTGGAGTAGTGCAGCTTCTTCCATTTGGTCTACCTCTGTGTTCCTGTCGGCAGTTGGAAGTGTTTTTGAGCTGCTTCCATGCTCCTAGAAGGCCCTGTGTTGTAGCCTTCTACCTTCCTGATGGAGCTTCTCTCCAGAAATGGCCGGTTTTGCTGCTAGAGTTGCAGATTCTCTGTGTCCCTGTCCATCTTTCTCACTGCATTTTTGGATGTTTGCCTTTGTTCCCACCTGCTGTCTCACTGTCTGTCAGCTGTGTGTTTTCTGTGTTGCTTTTCCAGCACTGCTTCATGATGCCCCAGTCCCTGGGAGTGATCGGAGGGAAGCCAAACAGTGCTCACTACTTCATTGGCTATGTAGGTGAGTGCCCAGAGGACTGCAAAGGCTGTCCAAGCATCTCCCCCTGCTGCTTGTGGGGTGCACAGCTCTCCTGTTTGGCCTGTGGGGAATGCTGCAGGGTTTTCCTTCCCTGCTGGAAGCATGGAAGGCTGCTGTGGGCCGAACCTCTCACCTCAGTCATGTGGATTTGAACACTGGCCATAAACTGCCACTGTGTAACACTAATCCTGTCTGTAAGAGGAGTGCACAGAACCTGCTTCCTGAGTTCAGAACTGATCTCCCTCTGGGGCCTGGCTGGATATAACTGTCCTTTAGTAGGTGACCCTTCCTCAAACCCTACAAACTGTCATTACTCTCCTCTGGTTTTCTCTCTCTGCCTGAGACCTCAGGTTACTTGTGCTTTAGATTTCTGGGGTCTACTTGAGCTTACCCAGGACCTGGGAAGGGGTGAGCAGGGACAGTACCCAAACAGTGCCTGTACCTCGATCCCAGGGGGTTGCTGTGGAGTGGCCACCGTGGTTCTGGCAGCTGCCTCTGTGCCTGGCTGAGAAGTATTTGGGGAAGTGGCTGGAAGCAAGTTGTCCCCAGAATGTGTCTTCCTCTGCGTGGTTACGAGAGCTGGCTCTGCCGTCGCTCTTACTCTTTCCATCTCACCGCTTCTCAGAGACCAAGGTGCTGGCATGGTTCTTCCTGTTGATGTGTCCTTGCCTCTCTGTCCAGGCGAGGAGCTCATTTACCTGGATCCCCACACCACGCAGCCGGCGGTGGAGCCCGGTGACAGCGGCTGCCTCCCCGACGAGAGCTTCCACTGCCAGCACCCTCCGTGCAGGATGAGCATCGCCGAGCTCGACCCCTCCATCGCCGTGGTGTGTTCCTGTTCCCCATCCCCCAGGGAGCAGCGCTGGGGTCCCTCTGTTCCACAGCTCTCTCCTTCCCCAGGGAACTGGCAGAGGCAGTGGTGATGGGCTGGGCACTCTGCAGTGCTGTGCTCTGGTCAGGTGCTGCCCTGGGTTTCGGTGACAGCGGTAAAGCAGCTCCTTGTGGGGGAAGCTGTCCCAGGGAAGTCCCCCTTGCATGGCAATTAAATGCCATTCCTCCTGGGACTGTGTCCTTCTCTCAGGTTTAGTCTGGGCTTTGATTCCTGTCTTGATGGGCAGATCTGCAGCTATTCCTGAATCCATATGAGGATGCACTGTGGCTTATTTTCTGTTGAGCCTGAGATGCCTGCCCTTTGTTTCCATGGGGGTTGTTCCTCCTGGTTTTCCTTCTGCAGTAGAGCAGCCATTAACGATTCCAGCACTTGGATAGCCTGGTCATAGTCAGCCTTTGTGGAGTGTTCACTTAACACAGGGTAGCGTCATGCATGGTTTTAGAGCAAGGCAGTTGGGTGTGGATAACTGCTCACAATCCTGATCATGTTGCTTGGCATTAATACAGGGTCTTAGGTCTGAAATAATCACTCTAAAATATAGAAGGATAAAATCTTTTTCTCTTCTTTTCAGGGCTTTTTCTGCAACACAGAGGCAGACTTTAATGACTGGTGCCAGCAAATCAAAAAGGTTTGTGTTTATAGATCTGGTCAGACATAGGAACAGGCTTCCCAGGGAAGGGATGGAGTCACCATTCCTGGAAGTATTCAAAGGCATGTGGATGTGGCACCACCTGGGGACATGGATTAGTGGTGGTGTTGACAGTGCTGGGTTAACAGCTGGACTCAGTCTTGGAGGTCTTTTCTAACCTTAATGAGTCTAATTCTACTCTTACTGAAAGGAGTATCAGGTATTGTTGCCAAACCACTGCACAGAGATCATGTTCTCAGCAGCACGATCCCATTTTAAAGCATATTAAAATAGTTTATTAAACTACCAAAGAAGAGCATAGCTCTGAAATTCTGTTGGTGACACAAGTAAAAGGTTTGAAAAACATTTCTCCAGCTGCAGTGAAGTGCCAACAGATGGTTATTACCCCCTGAAGAGCCCCAGGAGTGCAGAGGTGTTGGTTCTCATGGCTGTGCTCTGTCTCCACAGCTGGCCCTGGTCAGAGGAGCACTGCCCATGTTCGAGCTGGTGGAACGCCAGCCCTCGCACTTCTCCAACCCCGACGTCCTGAATCTCACACCAGGTGAGGCCACGCAGGGAGGGAGGGAGGGAGGGAGAGCTGGGGTGAGCCGGTCCCTTTGGTTTTCTGCAAATTTTGAGGTTGCACAGTGGTTTCTGATATGTTCCTGTTCATTCCGGAGTTTGATCTGGAGTTCCTGGATCAAGTGATATGGTTTTTTTGGCTTTCAGCTAGTGGTTTGCAGATCCCAGTGTCTCAGGATGATTTTTAGAACGATTCTGTGAATGGTGATGGTGACTGAGGAGAAGGAAAAACAAGCTCACAGGCTGTCACAGTAATGTGAATCTAGGATTTCTTAAGGGATGCTTGGAGGAATCAAAGGGGTCCGTTGAAAAGGCTGAAAGCTGAGTAGTTATGTAATGAAAATGGTCCAAGACAGGGCTGGTCACACTTAGTTCCAGCATAAGGCACTCCTTCCTGGCATGTACCACTGCCAGTGTGAGAAGGAACGACTTCTGGCCACTAATCTTGACTGTCAGGCTCTGCTTATCTTGTTCATAACATGCACAAACATTGCAGGAGATAGAGAGGCATTGGCAGCTTCTGCCAAGAGCAGTGAGTGTGTGTGGGCAAACCCACCCTGATACCAGGCACCAGGCTGCCTCCTGCACCTGCACCCTGTGCTTCCTCACTGTCTCTCTGTACCATGAACTTTCAAAGCCTTCCTTATGGCACTGTCCTGTGCTTGTAAGAGTGCTCGATTCCCTTAAGCTGCCAATCGATCCTTGCCTGTCTTAAATTGTCACCTTTCCTACTCTTAAAAATGTTTTTGTGGTGGACTACTTGTCCTTCTTCCTCTCCCCTGGCTTGTACCGACTCTTCCATCTGCCATGGCCGTTCTGTTTGGCTTAGTCCTGTCCCTCACTAGGAGGAGTAATTGAAGTTGGAGCCCGTTCCAGTGCCTAAAGAGGCTCCAAAAGAGGTGGAGAGGGCATGCAGTGACAGGACAAGGGAATGGCTTCAGACTGCCAGAGGGCAGGGTTAGATGAGATAGTGGGAAGAAATTCTTCCCTGTGAGGGTGCTGACACACTGGCACAGGTTGCCCAGAGAAGCTGTGGCTGCCCCATCCCTGGAAGTGTCCAAGGCCAGGTTGGACGGGGCTTGGAGCAATCGGGAATACTGGAAGGTGTCTCTGCCCATGACAGGGTTGAAACAAGATGATCTTTAAGGTCCCTTCCAACCCAAACCATTCTGACATTCTGTGACTGTCCAGCCTGAGTTAATACAGGTTTCTCCTTCCTCAGTTTGCCCATTGGTCTCACTTGAATTTCCCCTGTGCTAAAGTTGCTTCCCCTTTAGGTGTGAGCTCCTTCCTCACCATATGTTGGAAGGATGGACAGGAGGTATCAACTGCACTACCTTTCCTCATAAAATGGACTGTACAATTGCTTTTGGGAGAGTGCATGTTGTGTAATCACATTCCCTAACAGTTGTACCAAAGGTAACTACAGTAGAAACAATTCTCCGATACACGGCAGGAATGTATCCCTGAATTGGGCCAGAAACCTTCATGGATATTAGTCCAGACCTGGGCAAGTTCTCTTTATTTTGAGCCTCTTGAGGCAGAACGGTCTCCTGCTCATGCAGAGTTGGGGCACAGCAAGGTTGTACTGAACAGTCACAGCAGAGTTGTTTTTGGGATCTGTGAAAGGTGACGCACTTCTGTGCTCCATATAATTCTCTCCAGTGCATTTTCCATGCCATTGACATGTTCTCATCTCTGCTCAGAGCCTTCTCTCGGGTATGTCACTGAGTCTTGGAACTTGTGGGCACTTGGCACTCAAATTGTGATGCCCTCCAGCTGCTGGTCTCACAGTCAGGGTGTCCCACGGAGGCAGTGCTTTCTTCTTCTCTTCCAGACTCCTCCGATGCCGACAGATTGGAAAGGTTCTTTGACTCAGAAGATGAAGACTTTGAAATCCTGTCCCTTTGAAAACAAATAGGAAACTGACTCTGCAAATTTGTGTATGTGTGGGGAGAAGGGGGGAGGGAAGCTCCTTCGAGAGCCTGGGGCTACCGGTTTTCAATAGGCGCTTGCTGCCATCCCCGCCTCTTGTCCATCCCGGCATTCCGTGCAGCCTCGGAGCAGAGCGCGCAGTGTCTGCGGTGGGATGAAGAACCAAGTGGGTGTTACAGCCTTACTGGCTGCAGTCAGAATTTCTCAGCAGCAAACAGTTGCTGGAAGTGGATGCAGTGGTGCTTAGGAGTTCAAAGCCTATCTGTTACATCAGCAGGTCAGCTGGGCCTTCCGGGGGAGGCACGGGAATCATTAGAGCGCCGGATCCTTCCGTGGGGATTCCCCGCTGAAGCTTAAGTAGAGCCCACCCATCATTTTGCAGGAGAAATGTCCAGTTAATGCCTTTAGCAGCTTCTCTTCTCACTGGCCAACCTGGACTGCAGCTCACAATGCCAAGCAACAGCAGCCACGTCCCACAGACAGCTGTGAAGCCTCCGGAGTGCAGATCCCTATGGTACAACTCCTGTTCATGCTCTGCAGGACACAGCACTTCCTCTCCTGCTCACACCCTATGGAAAGGGCATTGAGGGAACTTCCAAGTGACTGGGAATTCAACAAGCGAACGGCTGCCTGGGGAAGTGTGGAACAGAGCTGTGCTGCTGAGGAGGAGCATCTCAATCCCAGTTTAAGTAACAGCAGAGAGAATGGAAGAATAGAAAATATGCGTGTTGCTCAGTGAGTCAATCCATGTGCTTCTACAATGAAATAATCTCTACAGTGAGTACCTTCAGGAAAGCTGCTTCAAGCAGAGAACTGGATTCCATAGGCCTGGAAAGAGACCCAGCTGGGAGAGGTGAAACAGGACAGCAGAGATCTGCCGGGCTCTTGCCTGTGCCCTCGTGCGCTGGCACAGCGTCTGTGGAGTTAATCCTGTCGTACCAAAAATGTGAGCTGTGAAACTCCTCAAGGTGCCCTCGGTGCACTGATCAGCAGTTCCTCCAGCTACTCCTGTCAGACATTCCATTTCCAAAGCAGAAGAGGCACCTGAAGGTCGGTAGGACTCCGAGCTGTTGGTACCTTGACTCTGCCTGCCCCCCTCCCTGCAGAGTGTGTACAGAGGTACTGTAGGAGCCAGCCTGGAGAAACCCCTGTCAGGTAATCATCCCAAACAGGCAGAATGCCTTGAGAAGGTCCAGTTATACTGGCAATTTTAGCTGCTTTAAGGTGGTAGCTCTGCCTGGGGCTCTTCTCTACAGAGAGAAAGGTGGAGCAGAGCTGTCTCTGTGCAAGCTGCAAGGGAAGTTGCTGCCGTAGTTCCTTGGTGCATGCTGCACACTGCAACCCCGTTCACAAGGCTCTGGTTTGTGCATTCAGGTTTGGAACCTGTAAGATGATGGTGTTGTGACCAAGGGTGGTGCCACCTGGGTAGAAATGACCTGTTTCCCCTGTGACTGACCTACTGATGCTCTGTCCCTGTGCTATCCGAAAGCAGAGGTTTGAACTGGGAACCACAATGCTTCTGTCACTAAATTATTATTTGCTGCTTTCTGCCTGCTTCTCCTCTTCTCTCATGTAGTCAGGGGAAGAGGCAGCAGAGGAAGTGGGGCTGTGCTCCATTCATCTGCTTTCAATTTCTATCTGAATAAACAGATCTAAAATCTTTGCCTGTCCTAATGTCCTTGCACGAGTTGAAAGAGGTGGTGGGTGGCATTCCAGTGACCCTGCACTGTGATAGGAAATGCTGTAACCAGTTTCAATAACCATTATTCCTGTTTTGCCATGCAACAGGAGGACACAGCTTTAACTGGAAGGCTGTACACTCTGTTGGCATGGGCAGGTCCTTTTCATTGAGATCACTCAGGACACATCACCCTCTTGATCTGTTCACCAGAAGAATCAGTACCTAAAGGGGCTCCAAGAGAGATGGAGAGGTTTGGACAAGGGCCTAGAATGAGAGGACAAGGGGGAATGGCTTCCCACTGCCAGAGGGTTAGATGGGATACTGGGAAGAAATTCTTCCCTGGGAGGGTGGTGAGGCCCTGGCACAGGTTGCCCAGAGAAGCTGTGGCTGCCCCATCCCTGGAAGTGTCCAAGGCCAGGCTGGATGGGGCTTGGAGCAACCTGGGCTAGTGGAAGGTGTCTCTGCCCATAGAACAAGATGATCTTTAAGGTCCCTTCCAACCCAAACCATTCTGCGATTCTACTGCTTATTTCACATTCATGATTTCATGGTTAAGGACAGCTCAGCCAGACAGGTTTTTACCTGAGTGTTAACACAACCCCAGTAACAGAACTAAGCTCAGCTGTCTAAGAGCTTTAACAGGTATTTCTGGATTTTCAGTCAGGCCCTTAAAGCTAATAATTAAATGACTTCCCTGTGTGTTGTCTTGTGTCAGTGGTGCTGTCAGGGCCTGATTCAGCATTACAGGCACTCACCTCCTTCACCAGAAGTGTTTGGCTGCCAAGTGCTGGGCAGCTGTGGAGGGAAAGGAGCAGCTTTTTCCATTTCAGCTGATGTCTGTATTAGCAATTTTGCTTTAAACATTTAGCTTTCCTTTCCCTGCTAGGGAATCAGTTCAATCTGCCTCTCTCTAAGAGTTAGAGCAGGAGATTAATGCAGTCCACCCTGCTACAAGGTGTGTTAACTGTCCAGCAGAGACATGAACTCTCTCAGTGCCCCTTGCAAATGATTTGACATTCCAGTTTGTTATGGTTTGCTGGTTGTTACTGCTGGCTTAGGTGATTCATAGCTGGTCTGGTTTGGCAGCCCTTATGGGCTGTTTAAATTGCACTGAGGGGTGTGTAGGAGCCACACAGATTGATTCCCCTCATCTTAGCCAGTCTAAAATAGCTTATGTGCTACTCACCCTCCAAACTGGCCTTGCTGTGAGCTAATCCATCTATTGCAGGCTCTTACCTGCTCACAGCAGTTTTCTGTCCCCATTCTCAGTGCACATCTGGGAAGGAGGCCTGAATTCACCTCTCCCTTCACTCCACAGCTCCAGCAAACAGCTTTCCTTGGATTTAGAGTTTGAACTGCAGCACTTTCACCTCCCACGTGTCCTTCTAGAAGATAAATGATCGTACTGGAAAAAAAAATGCCCTGTGCCAAATGCTTAAAAATAATAATTTATTAGCAAGTCCTCCACAAACTGGTTTGAGCATGGGGGGTGCATTTACTAGAGAGGCAGAATAATCAGAAACACGGCAGTTCCCTGGGACTGGAAACTGTCCATGCTCAGGGGTGGCCCTGGGCTTCACACCCACATCTGCACCCCAGGACTGGAGCTGCAACAAGAGCTCCTGTTTGGGATAGGGAGGTTTTTACCAAGAATTTGATTCATGCTTATGGCATATTCATTTAAAAAATGTGGAAGGGACTATGGAGGGGGAGGAGCAGATGAAATAACAAGGACGTCAGCATCGTTGGACCCAGAAGAATACTCAGGATCTGAGCTGTAGCTACTGGAGAGTGATATCTAAGGGAGTCATCCATGAGGTGAGCTTTCCCCTATTCCTTTATCAAGGAATACTTGACCTGTATCAAGTTTTATTTCCAGAGTTCTCCCAGAGGTTTATTCTGAACCTCCTCCATGGTTTTCTCTGCAATGGACTTGATTTCTCTGTGCAAGTCTTCTATGCTCTGTGAAGCATCCACTGTCTGTTTCCAAGACAAAAAAAAAAAAAAAACAGGATAGATACAGAAAACACAGAAACATGTTATTGGACACCAGAAAATGAGAAAATCTTTGCTGTTAACATCTGCTCCCCCTCATTACTCAATATTGTTACTGTTCCTGAGCAGTGAAATGAGCTAATTATACCTCCTGTGCACCGTTTCTGGAGTGGAACTGGGAAAAATCTATTTAGGAATAGACATTTAAGAAGCAGATGTGGGGCTGGATGGAGGGAAACAGAAGAAACTGCTGTTGCATGTTGTTTGCTGACACGCTTTGGGATGTGTTAGATACATAGAGGCAGGTAAGCTGAGATTCATCACTGGTGCTCCAAGAGCTGACCAGGGTGTTCTGCAACAGGGAAGTGCCCTCTGCCACAGCCCACAGTGCCCTTGGCTGGTCCCCAGCATGTCCCCCTGACCAGCAGCAGGAAGGGGGAGCACAGGGATATGATGGGCACAGTTTGGGAGCTCTCATGAGAGACCCCCACCCCAGTCCATGACCAGCCCATTGGGGTTATTTCCTCACCTTCCAGTTAAGGGTCTTGTCTTCCATCAGACAATAGAAGGACTGCAGAACTTTCTCTTGGAAGGAGCTGGACTCATAACGTTCATGTCCATAGTTCCCTCGTTCTACTGCTTCTTCCGGGCTCAACTGAAGAAACAGGATCAGGTCTGGCTTTGGGAGTCCCACGTCGGGCTGTTTGCACCAGTCCAGGCAGAAATTCTGTCCCAAAACAAAGACAACCAAATTTGAGGTGAAAGAAACACAAAAAGCGATAATATCCCAGCTTACCATGTGGGAATTCAGTCCTGGTAATGTGGGGGGGAGCAGGTTTTGTTGGGTGCTGTGCACCCCTCGTGCTCACTTTAGTTGGACAGAGCTAAAGATTTTAATGCCTCTTCTGCAGAGCCCTTCAGAGCTCTACCAAGGCACATCCTGAGCCTCCTCACAGCCTTTATCAGTCCAAAACTCGTGCTTGGTCCAAAAGAAAGCTGCTCCCAAATACAAACACCACACAGCTTCCCTGTGGATCTCTGAGCCCATGGAGGCTCCTTTTCAACACTCACTTACCCAAGAATTTCAGTCCAGACACAAGAGAAGCAGTTTTCCAGTCTGTGGATCTTGTTGACTGATCTGAAGACTTCCATCAGGGCACGTGAATCCATGGTGTTGTGGGGAGACCATGGAGGCTTGTCCACTTAATGCTCATCCAAATCCTAAATCCCTCTTTTAAGAGGAGCAGGCAAATCTGCCCTCCAGTTTCTCCCCAGATGTTCTGTATCCCAGCAGTTTGGGTGGTTTTTGGGATGCATATGCAGTGGAGTTTTTAATCCCTTGAGGGTGTGATAGAAGCTGGAAGTGCCACAGCATCTTGGACATGAGCTCCGGCTGCTGGTAACTATTGTGTTAGATATGGGCATCAACATCTCCCCTTCTTCTGGGAATGCTTTTGGAGTGAAAAACATGTCAAACTCCACTCCTTTAACTAGTAGATGAGATCCCTTCTAGCAAAGGATGCCATCTCTGCTTCCCAGGAGTTGCATCCATATGCCTGAGTGCTGCAGGTTGACAGCTGCAGTCAAAGAAATGCAGACACTTTAAGACATTTTTTTTCCCCCACTGGATAGCAGAACATTCCTTGCTGTGCCCATATGGGCTTGGGATCATTGTTTTGGAGTGACTGACTCAGCCTGTGTTACACGTGTCTTCGCTCCTAATTAGGGGCCTTTGCAGACACCCAAATAGCACCTAAATGCTTTAATGCATCTGTCTCAGGGTTAAGCCCCACTGTCCAGGCTTGGGGAAACAGGAGGGTGGAAAAAGATGTAGGTGACAGTGCAAGGCATGGGGATCCAGGACCTCCTAAATCCTCCCAGGAAGCAGGAAAAGGCTTGGGCAGGAATTAATGCAGGGCACTGGTGCTGCAGGCCTGGCTTCAGCTTCTGTGACCACAGGGTGCTCTTTGAGGACTGAGGGCTACTCAGCAGGAATGGGGCTCATCTGATGGAGTGGGACCAGAGTGACCGTGCAGAACAGGGAGGCTGACAGAGCTGACTTGTCCTGGAAGCAGGGACAGGCCCAAAGGCACAAGTGGGAACGTGAGAACTTCAGGCTAAAATGAAGAAAGTCACTTTTTACTCTGAAGGTGAGCAAAGAAGAGCCCAGAAAGGAGTGGATCTACATCCCTGGAGAGACTCAAACCTTGGCTGGATGTGGGCCCGAGTCAGCCCTGCTGGAGGCTGGGCTTCATGACTTCCACAAATGCTTTCCAAAATAAGTGGTTCTGTTATTCTTTGCAAGTTTATGGGCCACCAGTCAGAGCAAGCACGGAGAGTCTTAAATAAACTCCTGGAATCATTCTCCAGAGTCAAACAGGTCAGCTTCCAGTCCAGGAGTCTGTCCAGATTTACAGAAAGCAACCAAGTGAGTTTCTTTGTTCTGGGGAAGGGCAGACCCGGGCAAACACACTCTGTCAACACCTGAGCTGAAACTTCCAGCCCTCACTTGCAATCCTCATTTCCCAGAAGGATAATGGTCCCTGGGCCACTCACAGCAATGGCATCTACCTGGAGCTGCTCCCCCAAAACAGAGAGAGGGGCAGGGGCTGCTGCAGGACTCACTCACCCCTTTGGCATTTGTGAAGGCCACTCCAGAGAAGGCGTATCTGTCAACCACGATCGTGATCCCTTGGTGTAGCTTCTCTTTCATCACCGGTCTGAAACCATGTGGGAGACAAAATAATGAAGTTAGTTACACTCCTTTGTAGTGACAGAAATGAAAGGAGTTCATCTAAAAAAACCAAGTATGTCAGTATTACCAGAGATCACTGTCAGGGTCAGCTGTGATGAAGACAAAGAGCTGTTTGTATTCTCTGACAGGCATTTACCAAATATCCTTTCAAGACACCCAAATTCAGGGTGCCAGGGGCTGGGCACTGTGCTAGGCAGCTCCAGGGCTTACAGGCAAGATCACAACTGAACTGTATTGATATGAATGACCCTCTTTAGGTGGTGCAGTAGATTTGTGATACCTTTATTCACAATGACAGTTCTTATCAGAGCTCACTCATCTGCCTTACTGTCTCACAGTTTCCTTGTCACTGCCACTACAGCAGAGCCACAAAAGCTTTTCTGTAAAATGAGAACATTTTGCAATATAGGTTTCCAGGTGAAAAGAACAGCCAACACCCACTTCCCAACCTCCACACATGAAGACTTGGGAGCTAAAGCAAGGACAGCCAGTCATGGCTGACCCCAGCCTTTGACTTGAGGGGAAATTTGGGGGCAATTCCTTAACCACTGTCACTCACAGGGACTGCCTGGCAAAGCAAGGCCTCTTCAGGGAAAAGAGAAAATTCACAGTCTAGGCTGGTTGAGTCTCAGCTCCCCAGTTCTTTAATCCAGTATGGCACAGGGACTGGAAATATGGTACCAATGATTCCAAAAAGCCACGCTGTGGGACCTGATCTAAGGTTACAAGACCAAGGTTAGATAGGATAGGGAGTAGAAATTCTTCCCTGTGAGGAAGTGCAGCTCTGGCACAGGTTGCCCAGCAAAGCTGTGGCTGCCCCATCCCTGGAAGTGTCCAAGGCCAGGATGGACGGGAGTTGAAGTAATCTGGGATAGTGGAAGGTGTCCCTGCCCTTGGCAGTGGGTGGAACTCAATGGTCTTTAAGGTCCCTTCCAACCTAAGCCATTCTGGGATCCTCTGATTAAATCCAAAGCTGCAAGAGTCCTTGAGACATCAATTCCAGCCTGTTTCCCTGGCTGAACAGGATCACAGCCCTGTACTTTCTGTATCCACTGCAAGCTCAAACCCCAGGGGGATTCAACACCGCCCATTTTTCTTCCTCAACTGAACAAACTTCCTCCTTACACATGTTCCCAGCGGTTGGCAGAGAAGAGCAGGTGGATGGTGTGGTCCTCCAGGTCCTTCTCCCTCACCAGGTAGGAGCTGATCAGCTGCCCAATCTCTGTCGTTCTGTCTGTGGGAAAGAGGGGGAGAAGGAGCAAAGGCTGCCCCAAGCTGCTCTTCCCAGAGGGGTGTCCATCTGTCCTGGGAGTCTGTCTGTCTGTAACAGGTGGGAAGAGGTCGGTCCATCCAGGGTGGGGGTCTGTCTGTCACGGGCTGGGGGAGGTCGGTCTGTCCGGGGTGGGGGGTATGTTTGTTGGCCACGGGTCAGAGGAGACCAGTCCATATGGGGATGGGAATCTCCCTGCCTGTGGCAGATTGGGAGGAGATCAATCTGCCACGGGTGGGAAGAGCTCAGACTAAGCACGGACGGGAGTATC